CGTGAACATGGTTATAAGGGTGGCACACAAAACACATACGAACATAACCTATCTGTATATTGAGACTAGTAGTCGTGAGTAAATCAATATACAGGGTATACAAAAGCCAAACTTAAATGAACTTCCTTTAGGGCATTTGTCTGTTGGGTGAGTGATATGTAAGGCAGGATGTATGGGGAGGGGGTTGTGTGCCAAGTCGAGGGACCCCTGTCCATTAGGTCCACTCTGCTGTCTGTAGGTCCCTAAATCTTTAGGCAATAAAAGTTGGAGTGCTGGCCTCCCTTGTTATCTGTGTGTGTGTGTTTAAGTTTATGTGTGTGGGGTCACTAACCCCCCTCTTGTGCCTAGGCTAATTTTTTACCTCTCGTACCAGGCTACGCCTTGTCTCAGGCCACCTGGAATTTAAGCTTTGTGATATGTGCATGTGTGATCCTACACAGGAGTCTCACGGTCATTTGTCACTGCAGCCCTGCACTGTAGTGCATCTCTGAAGATGCCAAACACACATCAGTGTTTTAGCAGGTACTGCTCATTTATCATCTCATTTCTGTACAGATGATTTTATGACTTCAGGTTTTAAAGATCCTTTAAATCAGAACTTAAGTCATACCTGAATCACCAGGTTACTGTATAAAAGGTACAACTATAAACAGTGAAAGAACAACAGCTATTAAAACACACACATCAGCGGTAGAGCAGAAACTAGCATGATCCACAGCGCTGCAGGACTGGAGTTTCCGACTACTGGGCCAGAACTAAATAAAAGTGGGAAGGAGGCTGAAGTGAGGGAGGAAACTACCTTTATTTTGTCTGAGTGGCATTTGTTCCTGCTTATGGTCGCTCTGTAGCCGTGTGGAAGTATGATTTGGGGCCTGCATTAGGATAGTGTCTCTCCAGCAGCCTTACTGCCTTTATTTTGGCTGCGTGGCATTTGTTCCTGCTTATGGTCACTCTGTAGCTGTGAGGAAGTATGATTTGGGGCCTGCATTAGGATAGTGTCCCTCCAGCAGCCTTGCTGCCTTTATTTTGGCTGAGTGGCATTTGTTCCTGCTTATGGTCGCTCTGTAGCCGTGTGGAAGTATGATTTGGGGCCTGCATTAGGATAGTGTCCCTCCAGCAGCCTTGGTGCCTTTATTTTGGCTGAGTGGCATTTGTTCCTGCTTATGGTGGCTATGTAGCTGTGTGGAAGTATGATTTGGGGCCTGAATTAGGATAGTGTCCCTCAATCAGCCTTATTAACAATTATTTTTTTGTTTCTTAACTCTTGGTTACCTTGTTAGGCTTCCTTATCCATGAAAAGATTGGTTTAAATATTAAAATCCATTTTAAACTGGAGCACTGAGCCCATCTGTTTATGTTCTGTGTGTCAAACATGAATCCCATGGTGACTGACTCTGCTCTTACCTCATTTCAGTTCCTGCCATTGAGTCTTCAACAAAATATTCTGCAACCACAGCTGGGAAAGCAGCACTAGGAGTCTTTGTAGGTGGATTTGTAGTTATGATGGTCTTTATGGCTTTTATACAATGTAAGTACATTCACAAGTCTAATATAGTCTAGTATATTTTTTTGGTAATTAGAATTTCAGGGATATCGGACAACCCAGGATAATTAGCTATAGAAGTATTCCCTTTTTGCATTATTGATATCAATTTCATGCATTCTTTATTGTGTTAATATAGGATGTTTAATACATTATAGGATGTTTGACCCTTGCTACCTGTGATGTTCCTCACATGAATGTCATGCCAACTGACCCTCTTCTTACCTCATTTCAGTTTTCTTTTGGTTTTGGTACAACTTTACGCTCGAGACACTGAAGAAAATACTATGGGTCATATCTGTATTTTTGATAACTATGGTTTTAGTTGCAAGTAAGTTTCAGGTTTATTAATGTATTAATTAAACATTTTGTTTTGGGATTTCTGGACCAGGATTATGTGTAGAGCAGAGCATGTGAGTGGAGCGGTGAGAATTTCTGCTCCTCGCTCATGAGGCTGTTGGTTCCGCCCGCTCCTCCACTCATATTCGCACTAAGCCGCTCCGCTCAACACTGCTTCTCGCTCCACTAAAATTTCGCTCCACTCTTGCTCCAATTTAAAAGAGGGACAAATAATCTGCATGCCTAACAAATGTCACCTTAAACCAAAGCCTTATATCATAGGGTGACCAGATAATCCATGTCAGGGAGGACACTTTGAGCTACTTCGGGTTTTACAAACTACTTTCAAACTGAAAGGCCCCTGTGCTTGGCTAAATAGTTCAGCTCTTCCTGTGCTTTGACTGGTTTGTTTCCTTGAGTGAAAGACTCATCCAGCTGTTTCACATTAACATTAGTGACACATGCATGATTATAGGAGACTGACCAATCAGCACACAGCAAGAACTCAGCGCTCAAGTGAAATCCAGGTCCGTTTAATTGAAATGGTAGTTTACAATTCCTGTCCTAGCTCAGAGTGTCCTCCCTGACATGGATTATCTGGTCACCCTATTATATCATAAAGAAATATGAGCAACGGCAACATTGCCACTCAGAAAATATTTATTTTTAAACAACATTTAAAGGCCTACGCAACAACGGACACGTTTGGCAATGGCATTCCACATAAAAATAGGAATCAATGGGCTTAATAGCCTAAAGAATATACAGGCTAAGCATCCACGTTTTAAATTCCTCATTTCTTTTCTGTTGATGCTGCTGCTGCATCTCTCTATAAAATAAAATTTCACTGACAGCGTTACGTGACATTTAAAAAATCCTATTAGACCTACTTTGAATGACAAAACGAATTTATTTGATTGCTAATATTTACCGATATAGGCTTTTATACTTTAATTTACTTTATAGACTTGATATGCTACAACCATATAAAACTTGCTCACGTTTTGTTCTGGCTTAATTCCGCCTTTTCGCGTAAAACACTCTCATGTTTCTGAGAAAAATTATTCCAAAGTGATTCTTTACTCAATGAAACAGTTTCACCACATTGTTGTTCTTGCTGTACATTCTTGTCATCTATACGTTTGATAAGAATATTACACTTGTATAATTTATCAGTTTTCTTTGTGAAATACTTTGCGAATTCCATCTCGGCCAATTTGTGTAACAGTCTTGATAATTGTACAGATGAATTCTGGGTAGATTTGGGCACGCCTCAGAATTGTAGTGTGAGCGGTATCGGAGCGAAATTGGAGCGAGACAAAGCGACCGCTCCAGCCTTAATTTAAAAACCGCTCCGCGCTCTGACTAAATTCCGCCCGCTCCGCTTGCTCACGCTCCGTTCCACTCCACTCACATGCTCTGATGTAGAGGTATTAATTTTCTGCATAAACACAAAACTTGAACCTTAACATTTTGCTTTAAATAAATTTAAACACAATCGATAATTATGTACATTATGTGGACAAAAGTACTGGGACACCTGGCCATTACACCTACAGGAACTTTTATGACATCCCATTCTAAATCTATAGGCATCAGTATGGAGTTGGTCCCCCCTTTGCAGCTACAACAGCTGCCACTTTTGTCCATTCATCCAGAACAGCATTTATGAGGTCAGACACTGATGTCAGAAGGCCTGGCTCGCAGTCTCTGTTCTAGCTCATCCCAAAGATATTCAATGGGGTTTAAGTCAGGGATCTGTGAGGGCCAGTCACATTCTTCCAGGGGGGTGGGTGGGTGCGAGTGCTCAGTGATGGAATAAATGTGTTTATTCTGAGCTCCATGTTGTTCCCTACTTTATAATCAAATTACTGCACCTGATCATTATTTTGTTCACTACAGTGCCATCTGAACTGTAGAGTGACCCATTAGATTCGGTCTTAAATAACTATGCCCAGGAAAGACGACAGCAAAGCCTGAAAACAGCGTTTCAGGAGAGTTCGACTGCTATTAGCAATGAGGCTATTCTAGTGGCCATCATAAAGCAAGGGACTGAGTTAACCCGGTTTCTAAAACTGTAGACGAATTGAAGTCTACTGAGGGGCATCTCGACTCAACTGAAGCATGTTTGTCCACCCTTCAAAAAAAAAAGCACCACGAAACGGAGCACCACATGGGCGCTGATGAGCGTTCACCATGCTGGAAACTTCATTCAGTGAGTTACCAGTAACTAATGGTCTCCTCAAAGCCAAAGTGAATGATCTGGAGGTGTGTTCTCATTGGGATTGTTGGCATTGAAGAGGGGGAAGAGCAAGGTTGCCCTAAGGATTTTTTTTCCACGTTTGATCCTGGAGCTACTTGGAGATAATTTTAACAAGCCTGTCAAAATAGACAGAGCCCACCGTAGCCTGAGGCCCAAGCGAGTGCCCACCGAGTTATCATTGCCAAAGTCCACAACGACTGGTGCATGAGTGACATCCTTTGGTTCAGCCGTCAACAAGCACCACTGAGCTACAATGGCAGTAAAGTGTCCTTGTTCCCCAGCTACACTGCTCTTCCTGGCTAAACTCTGTGTTCTCTACAGTGACACGGTTCACATCTTCCAGTCACTGAAGTTGAACGGCTTGCGAGGCAAATCAAACTAATCCTTGTCACTATTGGCGGCTTTCGCCAGCATTTTAAACAGCTATAAGTACATGTTTTAAATTAGCACGTCATGTTCATTGTTATTTCTGTATGGGCTGAGCACTTACCATTTCAAGCTTGTGGGCTTAAAGGTCGTTCCCAAATGCTTCCACTTTGCAATTATACCACTTACAGTTGACCGTGAAATGTCTAGCAGGGAAGAAAAAAAAACTGACTTATTGCGAAGGTAACATCTTGTGACAGAATCACGCTTGAATTCACTGAGCTATTCAGAATGACCCATTTTCTCAGAAATGTTTGTAAACTTGACTGCATGGCTGGGTGTTTGATTTTATACACCTGTGGCAATGGGTCTGAATGAAACACCTGAATTCAGTGATTAAGAGGTGTGTCCCAGTACTTTTGTCCATATAGTGTATATATTATGGCATATGCATGTCCCACTGAAACATTGTTATCTTTGCATAAACAATGTTAGTCTGCTTCTTAACCTGGGATGTAGTTTTAGTGCCTCAGTGTCCAACATGGGATTCAAACCCAGAACCCCCAGGTGACAGGGCTGTGCTCTTTTAATCACAGGATTGCTGAGTGTGTCAGTCATGAATTTTATAATGACTCAGTATTCTTACCTCATTTCAGCTGGTGTTGTTGTGTTTCTTGCCAAAAATTTCTCTGAAGGAGCAGAAGCTGGAGCGTTTTTAACCCCCTTTATAATTCCAATGATCATATTTTTAATCCCATGTAAGTATATTAACATATATTTAAATTGTACTTTAATTTATTTTAATTTATTGCATTTAATTTGGCCATTGATTTATCATAAGTAGTGTGTGAGGACTGAGTATAGAGCTGTTTATTATAAGTAATTAAATACCAAATGGTGTGAAGCTTGACCATTATCTCTTGAAATCTATTTTTCATTACTAATGTATAAATATTATGGGATGTTTCATATCATGTCCCACCCAAACACCTTTAATACAACACATTTTAATCTGCCTCTTAACCTGGGATGTTCTTTCAGTACCACAGTGGGATTCAAACCCAGAACCACCAGGTGACAGTGCTGTGCAGGGTTTTAAACACAGGGTCGCTCAGCACATCTTTGTTCTTATGTGTTTGATACAAATTTCATGGCTAATGATGTTTGTACTTCATTTCAGTTATTGGGCTTGGGATTCTTATGATTCATAACCAAAGGATACAAGTCGGATTTTATAGATTCTTTCGTTTATTCCGCAGTAAGTATATTCTCTAGGTAATACATCTGATTACTGTTTACATCCCTGATATATCAGGAATCCTGCACCAGAGTTAGTTATAGAGTTTCTTCTTCTTTACAATGTACTAAATTAAACAAACATATGTGATCCCTGATCATTTTCCTGACATCCCATAATCTTCTGTCATCTTATTCAATGGGGAGGCTTGGAGCCCCTCCCAGAAGCACAGGCAGGGGTGTCCCAGTCCATCGAAGGGATTTTCATAACATTTTATTGGTTTGCTTCGGAAGGAAATTTTATCTTAGTGTTTCCTGTGGATGATACCATACCCTTTTAAAACAGCCCTTACATATATAGAGAGACAAAAAAATAATTTAAATATGTATATTTTGTTTAATGACATTATAATCATTTTGAATACTTTGCAGCCCCCCCTCAAATCTGGACATCGATTCCTGGAACTAGTAACCTGTAGGACTAGGAATCAATTCCAAAAAAATTAACTCCTTGATTCCAGGCAGCACGGAATCAAGAGTCTATTCCAAAGCTTTGGAGTACATTTTTTTTCAGTTTTTGAATATTTGAATATCCCTGGCAGATATTATTTTTAAATCAAGAGCAAATTAAAATTTACCCATTGAGACAGCATGATATTTTTCTTTTGATCTCAGCCATTAAATTCTGCTTTACAAGCTCAGGAACACTATGCTGTGTCTAACTTGGTCTGTTTTACACTTACAGGTCTAAACATGATATTTAATATCCAGATCCTTACTCTTTATGTCCAGCTTATTGCCTGGATGCAACGCACATTTTTTCTGGGTGAGTTTTCTTGGAATTAAATCCAGGTGTGTCATAGTTTCAGTAAATATATGTAATTAGTTCTCTAATTTTTTCAATATTCTATATAATATATAGAATAGAATATAGAATATATATTTATTGTCATTGTAGATACAACGAAATTTGAATGCCCAACTTCCAAGTGGTAAAAAAGATCATATTATGTGGGATATATGTATTTTTTTATTTCTAAACCACCAGCATACACAATTTACCTGATGTAAAAACATCTGACAGTATCTGACAGTGTTTCCTTTATTGTTACTAGTCTATGTAGTTATGAGGGTCATGTGATTGGGATTATGTACATTGTGCAGATAATGTAACAGATAATATGTGGGGTTTAAAATGTGTAAAACTTGTGCTTCAAATGTGAAACTCGGATATTAACCATGTTTAAGTTCATATCGTTAGCTATCAGTGTTAATTTTAACGAAAAAAAATCGTTATCGTTATCGTCAACGACCTTTATTTTCAGACTAAAACGAGACAATAACTAAATAAAAATGATTTCGCAAGGCCTAATTGACTATGACGAAGTGTATTGACACTTTCGTCAACGAATAAAAACAAGACAAAAATGTTTGCCAGTGACGGGATACAATCAAAACTAATTAATGTAGTTTGCGTAAGGCAGGGGTACCAAACTAAAATTTAAAGAGGATCAGATAGAGAAAATTTCTTGAAGCAAAGGTCCGGAAGATCGTAATGTCTAACTATTTAGTGTGATATATATTTAAGTAGCCTATTAGTTGTATCAACATTGCATGTAATCAGTACCTGACTGTCAAATCAAAGTATTCAAATTAATTCAGCACAATTCAAAAACTTTTTGACAATATTTATTGTCACGTCACATAGGCTATATAGAGCTGAACATATATGTATGACTGCCGATATGCGTTCATGGATTTAAGTATTGGTTTTGATAATCCCACACACCGGTAATATAATTAAAGTCTCGTTTTAATATAAATTCATACGAATTTATCGCTTCAATCGCTATTAGAGTAGGATATGGGCGGTCATATTATTTCGAAAAGAAATAAAACGTGACATGTTTTTCTCATATTAGCTTTATACTTGTCTAGGGTTGCCAACCCTCCCGAATTGTCCGGGACATCCCGAAATATGAGTGATTTTGATTTGTCCCTTCAGGGGCAGCTCCAGTCCCGTATTCCAATTACAGCCTCGTCATGCAAGCGTAGCTATGAGACATGGTTGTTGGTGTGCGTGTGTGCACTGGCCACTTGTGATGAGCGGTGACAAAACCTTGCGATTTCCATTATTGTTGGTAAATATCATAAGATTACATTCAACTAAAACTACAGTTTATTTAGTCGACTAAAATTAAAAGTGCAAAGTATAATGTTTAAAATTTCCCTTTGAGAGCTGCTCTGCGCGTGCACCTGCAAGAAAGTTTCTTTTTTTTTTGTAACTTTATTTCAATTCAAAAATATTACAAGGCACGTTTCACAATGGAACAATTAACAATGGAACAATATAAACTGAGCACAGATAATACAATAAAATGAATCTTATAGTAACATAGTCAAAATAAAACAAATAGAAAAAAAGAAAAACAGAAGGTAAGCATAGCATAGTGAAATAAAGAAAGAGCATATATCGTTATCACTTATAAGAGGACTTCCATTTTTTAGTCGTGGTCCTTTGTAGCTTCAGTTTTTTTGTTCTTTGTATCTTCTCTGGTAGATTGGGTCTTTCCTTGTTTTCTTTTCATAGAAAAAAATAACTTTGGAAGGGTGAAAAAATAGTCAAATAACATAAACTAGAGGTAGGTGACACCAGCGCACTAAAAAGGACTTGTGCTCAGTCCGCCATCTTGCCCTCTGCTCACCTGCAAGAAAGTGTCCCTCATTTAATTGGGGTTGAGAAAGTTGGCAACCCTATACTTGTCGGAGTAACAACGTAAATGGAATGATGAGCCGTTTCAGGCAAAAACAGTGCATTTTACTTTTCATTTAAAATAAAACACGGGGTTGCCAACTTCAGCTGGCTGGAGTCAGATTTTCAGTTCGAGATGTCGAGATGTAACGTTACAATTCTTACCTTGTAAATAGTCTTCTTTTGTATTTAACAGTATAAATACACTTTTGACGTACCTAATTTTAGGTTTATAATGGAATAATATAGATTTACCGTAAGATTTCCTGCGTGAGTCTGAAAGCATGAGTTCATGCCAGATGCTTGAGATTTGGCAACCCTGAAAACGTACATTTTTTGTTTCACCCGAGTTGATTTATATAAAAAATAACATTATACAGTTGTTAAAAAGGGGAAACTTAAACGAACATGAAAAAGAGAAGAAAGTTGATTTTTGGCTCTATACGCTAATAGAATTGTAGCCTTGGGGTAATTATTTTGATGTTCAAAATGCTAAAATAGAATGGTTGCACTTTCTGCTACTGATAGCTGTTGAGAATTATGTTTTCAATGTTTGGAATTTTTTTCTTGATCATGGTTATAGATCCCTGATACCATTATTGGTCTTTTCCTTTGAACATATTTGAGAATTTCAGGTGAAACATTTAACCGTGAACAATAGCAAATAAAAATATTACAAATACAGTGGTACCTCGGTTCTCGAACTCACTAGAATTCGAATTTCTTGAACGTCGAACAAACCAGTTTGACCTAGAACTCGATCTGAATATCAGAAGTCGAACCGTGAACACTGACCTAATATAAATTGTACGCCCCAGGAAATGAGTCATACTACAATGCAATTCTTCCTTGAATGCCTTCTTCACAGACTGGACGATTAACCAAATAAAGCAGCGCAACATTACAGTAACTAACAATAAATAAACCACTAACTTATGTGTAATATTAGAGCATTTATGTCATTTATTTAAACTTTTATTTAAGTATTACCAGGTAAATTAACTGAAAACCAGTTCTCACTGCTTTACGTGATATTCGGGAGAAATAGCAGATTACGCATGGGAACTGCCTGGGATACAAACGTCATGCGTGTGACTAAACTCTTCAGCCAATAAGGGCAAAGGTGTGTCGTCACGGAGGCGGTTCCAGTTTGTGCAGCCGGGTGAGAGGTCGCAATGCATCTAACCGTAATGCATTGTGTCAGGATCAGAATGCGTTACTTTAGAGAAGGGTCCAGCTGCAGACACCTGTATAGTGGAGCTCCACCGGAAATACGTCACCTCCACAGGAAATACGTGATTTTAAGGGGCGTAAAGTGGAGCTCCACAGGAA